GTTCTTCTCAGGTCACATTTGTACGGTTGTCTTCTAGAGCCATCTTATTTGGACTGAGCTTTAATTAAATCAGGAAACACAGAGAACTCTAAGGAACTTCATCTTGCTCCGTCACCGGGCCTTTCTGATCCAAGTCAGGCATATATATATTTTTGGCACACATTAAAAAACTCACATATCTATATACATATCTATATATCTATATCATGCATCTGTGTTAAGTCACTTCAGTTGTGTTCAACTCTTTATAACCCCATTGACTACAGCCCATTAGGCTTCTCTGTCCACGGGATTCTCCAGGAAAGAATACTGGAGTGGGTTGCCATGCCCTTCTCCAGGGTATATTCCCAACCCAGGGATGGAACCCATGCCTCTTATACCACCTGCATTGGCAAGGGGGTTATTTACCACTAGCACCACCTGGATTTACCTATTTGGCTTTTCCTAAGATAATAAATTATTAAAGAGCTTATAGCACCTCAGATTTCACAAAGATTCTTTACATCATTCTCCTTCGAGCCTCATAATCCTGTGAGATGGGTATGCTTTTATCTTCTTTACTGATGAGGAAACTGGGGCTCACTTATACAGGGAATTAATGGACAAGTGGGTCCAGCAGACCATCTTATGACTCCTAGCATTTGCTTTCATTGAAATTAAGACAGGCTTATCGTGCCAGCAGTGACAAGTTGGGGACTTTGGGAAGGTCATGTACACATTGCTATATTTAAAATCGATAACCAACTAAGAGCTACTGTATAGAACATGGAACTCTGCTCAATGTTATGTGCCAGCCTGGATGGGAGGGGAACCTGGGGGAGAATGGATACATGCATATGTGTGGCTGAGTCCCTTCACTGTTCACCTGAATCTACCACAACATTGTTAATCAGGTATACCCCCAAAAAACGTATTGGGTGTTAAATAAATGAATAAAATGCTAAAAAAAAAAAAAAAAAAAAGAGGGTGGGGATTGGGGAGGTAATACAACTTTTGAAATCTTTACGTGAAAACAGACCACTGGGACTCTTCAGGGTTGTTCTCATATTCTTGGTTTATCATCCCTGTTGCCAGGTCGGCTGCCCTTACTGGTTATTGAAGAATGTCACAGAGGTTTCAGGGGCTTCCCTTGTGGCTCAGCTGGTTAAGAATCCGCCTGCAATGCGGGAGACCTGTGTTCAACCCCTGGGTTGGGAAGATCCACTGGAGAAGGGAAAGGCTACGCACTCCAGTATTCTGACTTGGAGAATTCCATCGACTGTATAGCCCATGGGGTCCCAGAGTCGGACATGAGTGAGCAACTATGACTTTCACTTTTCTGGCAGGTCAGCTCCCCTTACTAGTTGCTGGAAGAATGTCACAGAGGTTTCAGGGAGACACTCTCTGAAGGGAGGCATTCTCTGAAGTAACTTTTTCTGTTCTGAAAGGGCCAAGCTTCTTTTTTGTCCTGAGTGGGCTCTGCTGTTCTACTTGTGGGGGCGTGCTACCCTCAGGTGGTGACAGAGGTGAACTACAGCTGCACAAAGGTTTCTGGGCTCTCTCTGTGGCAAAGGCAATGTAGAATTTGTCACTGTTTGCTGACCTTGGTATGGGGATCTGCCTCAGGCACACAAGGGGACTTTGTGCCTGCAGACACTGGCTTCCAGTAGTATAGCATCTTCATACTCCACTATGCTTCACCCCCAGACTCCAGGGCCTCTGAAGTGAAAGTGCATAAGTGTTAGTCATGGCCGACTCTTGGCGACCCCCTGGACTGCAGCCCACCAGGCTCCACTGTCCATGGGATTCTCCGGGCAAGAATACTGCAGTGGGTAGCCATTGCCTTCTCCAGGGGATCTTCCTGACCCAGGGGTCGAATGTGGGTCTCCCACATTACAGGCAGATTCTTTACCTTCCCAGAGAAAGCCAAGAACAGATCTGAGGTCACGTTGGAGAGGCCGTTGTTCAAGAAACACAATACCAAGAGGCCTTGAGCAGACATTTTGCGTTTTATCTGGAGTAGCTTTTTTTAAGTCTCAAACTATCCTGTGAGATAATATGCCCATTTTACAGATAAGGAAATGAAGACCTAGAGAGTTTAAATTCCTACTTCTCAAACTTCTTAGTTTCATTATCCTCTAACACTTTTAAGAAGTATGGGGAACCCCAAGGGACTTTTCTTTATGTAGGTTATGTTCATCCATGTTTACAATATTAGAAATTAACCTGAACTTTAACAAGAACTTATTGATTCATATAAAATAGCAACAAATTTATGTGTTAACATAAATTATAGAAAGGAGGAAGAATAGTACTCTTTCACAGTTTTGTGAATCTCTTTAACTCTTGACTTACTAGAAGACATGCCATGTGCCCTCTCAAAAACTCGTGAGGGAATGAGAATGAAAAAGGAAAATAAGAATTTACTGTTTCTATGAAAATAATTTCAATCTTTCGATTTCCTGAAAGGGTCTTGGAGGAGCCCCAGGGATCCCAGGATCATACTTTGAGAGCCACTGGCTTAAAGAATTTGCCTGTGGATGCATAGCTAGTGTGAAGTGGTGGAGCTGAGATTTCACCCTACGCTTGTCTGGTCTTACCTGCTCTGGCCTCTCTTCCACACTCACTGTTTCCCTCACGTATCCTCTGGGCGTCGGGGGCCTCTTCTGTAAAATCAGAGTGGGGCTCTGGATGGCCTAAGGCCCTTCTGCTGGTTCTCAGGGCCAGGAGAATGGGAGGAGGCAGAGGTCCTCGTCTCTATGGTCTGCTTTCAGACCAAGTCCTAGGATGTACCTCTCTGGATTCCACTCTCCCTTAAAAACTATTGAGCAAAGGAGGGTTTGCAAAAGGGCATTTCAAGTGGAAGGAATAGAATGAGCAAAGTCACAGAAACAGGCAAGTACCAGAAATTTCGTAAAGTTCTGTTACTCAGCTGGCATTTTAACTGGTCTTCTTACTCAGTCTCTCTCTCCTCCCATTTGCCTGACGCAATGACTATGTCAGAGTAATCTTGTTTAATGTTTATTTCACTTGTCATTCCCCTTGTCAGAAACCTTCACTGGGTCCCCCTTAGTTGAAATTCAGCACTCTCATCTGGCCTTCAAGGCCCTTTCCCATTGGCTGGTACTCTACTCTAGACCTGATTTCCCATTGTTTCCCTTCATGCATTGTTTGGTTGACTCACTGTCTCTTATGTCTATCACATGCTCCTTTGCACTCTTAAGTCCAAGCCATATATTTTCCTAACAATTCCCCTGCTTCAGGGAGTCCCTCACCGCCAACTGATTTAGCCCACAGGGGTTCCGCCAGGCTTCAGAATGCTTAAAGCATTCCATTAGTACCCCAACCCTGGCCTTTCTCAGAAACCGCCTGGCACTGTGATCAAGGAAGCCCTCAGTCACAACTGGCTCAGAAACTCCCTGCAAAAGGGAGCAATGTCTTATCTTTTTCCATCACCTTTCCCCTCTGGTTCTCATTACCTACAAGAAAAGATTGAGGGCAGGAGGAGAAGGGGGTGACAGAGAATGAGATGATTGGATGGCATCATTGACAATAGACATGAGTTTGAGCAAATTCTGGGAGATAGTGAATGAAACCTGGCATGTCCATGGGGTCGCAAAGAGTTGGACATGAGTGATAGAACACCACCACCACCTCCTACAAGATGCACTGTGGTGGCTGCTATCTGTTGACTTCATCCCTAGAAGTGCAGGACCTGGAGTTGCAGACAGACTTCTCTGAAGGTGCTGGGGAGAGGCCAGAGGGGGTGAAAACAGAGGAAGATGCAGGGCACAATATCAACTCATGCCAGTGGCAATGTGGAGCAAAGAGACTTCTGACAGGGAAAGAAAAGATGCTTCCGAGCAGGAGATGTTTTATTCCTCAATGAATGCAGGAGGCAGCGGGGAGAGGAAAGATAATCTGGCCCTGCTGTGAGACATTGGATAGAGAATCAGCCTCTCTGTTTAGGAGTTGAGCCTTACTCAACTTCCCACCTGTGGGCATAATGTCCTTTATATAGTGTAGTTAAGCAGAAAAGAGATACTGCTAAGAGCCAGCACATAATTGATGCCAAAAAATTATGAAATTTCTAGCCCAGGAGATCTGGATAAGAGATTCCTATTATCATAAATAACCTGATTATCGTCTCTTAGGGACTAACTTTCCAACTCTCATAGGTGAAGGAGAGGCTCGCCCAGCCTAGGGGTTGCCGCAGGGGCCAGGTTTGCTGACTTTCTGCTGCCATCAGGTGGCCAGAAGCTCACAATGCAGTCCGATTGATTTGTCTGCACGTATCCAAATTCAGATAAAGCGGAAGAGATTTGGGTGCGTGAGAAGTTTTGGGGAGGGAGGAGATTCTCGAGGGCAGAAGAAAATGGGAGGAGGGTGACTTCGGGTCCCCGGGGAGCATAGAGTGACCTGGCCCAGGAGTCTCGTAATCAGGCACAGCGCTGTTAATTCAAGAACTCTAGAGGACGGACCCATCCCCCTCACGATCATCCTGACTAGTATTGCCCCCTGGGGTGTGGTGAGATCCAGTCCCGCAAACCTCTCCAGCTCCATGTGGTTCCGTTCTCGCGCTCCAGAATCACCGTCTTTCTGGCCCATTATTACAACAGGCCTGCTGATACAGGCCTTTGCACACGCTGACCTCTGTCTAGAAGGCCGTGCCCCTCCGCCCACACCGTTCAGTGTCTAAATTCCGCTCGCTCCTCAGTTCTAGCTCAGCCGTGACTTCCTCAGGTAGACCTTCCCCAGTCCACGTCAGTTTCCTGGGGTGCACGCTCTCACAAAGCCACGTTCTCTTCGGAGCGCTCTTCTCAGTTGATAAGGAAGCGTTCATCCCTGTGAGCAGTGGGTTAGCATCCATCTGGCGCTGCAGTGTAGGCGCTCCTGTCCCGAGCTCGCAGGTCCTGAGCCTGATACACATCAAGAGATCAGTCACCCTCTGCTGGATGAATAAAGGCATTGCGGGATAGGAGAGAGATCTGGAGGCAGGGAGGCGTGGTGAGGGTCTTTCTGCTAACTCTGAGGCATGACCGACCTTTCCCGGACCGTCCCTTCCCCCCAAAGAGATGCGCACCGCATTTCCCACTCCATCCTACCTCACCCCCACCTACTTCCCGAGCAGGCAAGGTGGACTGAGACATGTGACAGTCATCTTGGAGGGAAGGCGAGCCGCCTCTATACAGGGTCCGCTCTACAGAGGGGAGAGAGACACGGCTTCCTTGGCCACGAGGCCTTGGGTCCTCTTGCGGGCCACCTGTAATCAGTCTCTGCTGAAGTTGGTCAACCCCCAAGACACACACCATCACTGCCAGGCCCTGGAGGAAGCAGGTGTGAGGGAGGCGTATGTGGGCTCCCCTTGGCTCTGGTAGGGTAGTAACCTCTCCTCAGCAACCGGTGAGCAAGCTCCTTCATTTCTGTGGGTTAAACTGAAAGGGAATGAATGACCCATGGGTTGAGATTCAAAGTACACAACCCAGAAAGCGGGGGTTGTGTACTCAAGCCTAGTTTTCTGAGGGTATGGATTTTTAAAACATTGTGGCTTTAATTTAGATTTCATTTGAAAAGGAAGTTAATGTGTTCCAAATTCAGAAAAGATTCTTAAAAATCAAACAAAATTATGGTTTTAGAATATGCTATTTCAAAAATTTGCCAACCCACAAAGTTGGAGGATGGGGAAGAAAAGAGAAATAGTACTTGGTGCTTCAAATTGTTTTTTGAGAGGAAATACTCTTTATTCCCAGAATTAGGTAAGGAGGAGGGAGAATTTTACCTAGAATTCAAGGTAGGTGAGACTTTCAAGGATCTTCTGGAACTGAGCTTCCACTATGGTTTCATTGTAGAGTTTGAGATGCTGTGAGTTTCCAAAAATTTCAATATCCCAGAGTCAACACATATCCAATTTTAAAAACTTGGGCTTTGTAAGTGATTTTTAATCCTCCATGTGCTTTTTCCTTTCATCTGTTAATGCAAAAATCAAAAGCCATTTATAATTTCAGTCTGGAAAGATTCACAGAGAGAAGACATTTAATCTCAGGAGTTGGAGAAGACAAAGAGCAGCAGAATGAACGTGAATTATAGCAGAAGTGGTCGTAGAGAAGGGAAGTGAGGCCAAGGGGAGCATCTGGCATGGGGGATGGAGTGCCCGAAGCACTTCTTCTTTCCCAGGCTCTACCTTTAAGACAGCTCCTACATGGGCCGCCTCTTGGCCTCCAGGTGTTCACCTCAATGGAGTCTCCACCAAGAACCATAGGTCTTCACGCCAGCAGTGTCGCCTCCTTTCTTTGGTCTGGTTCTCTGTTCTTGTGGCCTTCATCTTTGGTTACCTTCCAGACTAGGATAAGTAGAGTGACCAGAGTCATCAGGAGTGTAAAGAAGAAGAGGACTTTGACCAGGTAAGCAGGATCAGATATGGTAGAGGTCAGTGTATGCTTGTCCCATAAGAAGGCTGGAAGCTGTGGGGAAGACATAGGTTTCTCCAAGACAGCTGAGATATGTGGTAGAAGCAGACTGCACACGACCAAGAAAACACGAGGAGAATTGGTCTTGCCCTTTATAATAGCTTAGGAACGAGTGTCAGACGGCTGAACTTGTGGCTTGCATGGGGCCATTTTCCTTCCGATGTAGCTGAACAGGCAGATCAGTTTGCTCAGCAAGGTTGAACAACTGCTTCCAAAGCAAACACAGGCCTGACATGTAGTTCAGCTGACAAGACTTCTGGGTGGTAGGCGGGGCTTCTGAGGCTTTGTGATGTCACTTGAGGATAAGGCAAGGGTCTGACTGAAGGTTCCTGTCCAGAATGCTCCGTCCTCTGGGCACCACCTCCCTTCATATCTGGCCTCCAGAGTGAAATGGGAGCTCCCTAAGTGCCTGTGAAGTTGCCCCTTCAATCCTCTTTTATATAAAAAATTTTCATTTTGAAATTATTTTAGATATATAGGGATTTACAAAGATAATACAGAGAGGTTCGATATATCCTTCATCCAGGGTTCCCCAGGGTCCCCAAGTGGCTAATCTGTGTAACTATAGTACAAAATCAAAACCAGTAAATGGACTTAGAAACAAATGTGTGCATATAGTATATGTGTGCATATAGTATATGTATAGGCATTTTTATCATGCAAGTAGATTCAACCCTGAAATTAAGATACAGAATGATTCCATCACCATGGAGAGCCACTGGTGTTCACATTGTCATTTGGAGAGGAGTGTAGAGAGCTCATCTCCCTTTAAGTCCCTTTACCACCTCCATTAACAATATAATCTTACTAAATATTTCTTCTACATTCTTTGAAATTGACATTTAGACAGTGTTATACTTTTCACTTTAATTTTCAAATGTAATTTAGAAAACACAAGAGGAGAAGGAAAGTATTATTTTTACCCAAATTACTCTTTTTGGATAATTGACTCAACTTGGGTCATTTATATTGTCCAGTCTTCAAGTTCATTGTTCATTGATTCTTTCTCTCCTTCCCTTCCATTCTGCTGTTAAGCTTATCCATTGAGTTTTTAATTTTGGTAATTATATTTTCTAGTTTTAAAATCTCCATTTGGTTCTTCTTTATATCTTCAGTTATTTCACTGAGATTTTCTGTTTTAAAGTTGTTTGTTGAGACATTTTTGTGATTCTTCAAAATCCTTGTCAGATTATTTCAAAATCTGCATCATCTTGGTTTGGGTCTCTGCCAATTGTCTTTTAAAATTTAAGATGAGGTTTTCTTGGTTCTTGGTGTGATTTATGATCTTGATTGCCTGCTGGACATTTTCAGTGTAATGAGACTCCGGATTGTATTTAAATCTTCTGTCTTAGCAGGGTTCCTCTGACATCATGCTAGTTGTGGGGAAGGGGCATCATCTTACAAACACTGGGAAGGAATGAATATCCGCATTCTCCACTCAGGCCCGTTTGTTCACCCAGGGGAGAGGGGAGATGTGACTCCTTATTGCAGGGTGGATGTGGGATTTCAAACTCGCCAGGCGGCCTCCTCTGACACTCTGGCAGAGAGGGGGAGGCGTGTCTTACTACTTCTGGATGGGGAGCTCACTACCTCTGGGCAGGAATGAAAACCCAGGCTCCCCACTCTCTCTCCTCTGATACTGCTCTGATGAGGGATGGGGTGTGGGGAAGGGTACCTCCTTATGGCCAGAGCCTAGGGTCTCCACCTCCCTATAGAGTTGGAAGTGGGACCATGATTTTTTCTATGGTGTTTGGCTGGAGTAAGGCAGTGATTGTCCAAAGGTTTTCTGTCTTGCTGAATTGCCTTTTTCCTTGTCCTTTGGCAAGCAGGCTTGTCTTGGGACTTCATTTTGTCTGTGCTTGTTGATATTTCCAGGTTGTTTTCCAGCATCCAGTCAAGGATATATATGAGGCAAGAAAACCCATGAACTCTTGCTATGTCCATCTCTGGGTTCCAAGAGCCCTTGGCAGTCTGCCTCCTTCTTCCCACCTTTTAGATCTTCCTATGTTGGTTTTATATAAAGTGTCCAGGATTTGCAGCTGTGCTTAGCAGGAAGAATAGGGAGAACTGAATTTACTTCAAGTGCATCTACCCTATCCTGGTCTAGAACCTCTTGATGCTATACCAAGATTCGGGCAGGTGATGGTAGAATGGATACCAAAGGATGTGGAGGGCAAAGACAAAGGCCCAAGTCCAGCACTGGCACCTTCCAGGGTGGGTGACCTTGGTTAGGTCACTTCATCTTTCTCACCCTCCATTTTCTCATTGGAAATGAAATTATAGTGATAATAAGAAATTTACAGGTTTTTATGGGATTGCAATGAGCTGACAAATGCATAATAACTTTTCAAACCATAAAATTCCATACAGATGGAAGTTATTTTAAATATGAACTAGGAAGGAAGGGAAGTGAAGAAGGAGGTGTTTAGAGAATGTATGGCAGTTAAAATTTTCTCGAGTTTGTTCTTTCAACTCTCCTATAAACTTGCAAAGATCTATATATGAATTACCCCCCTTCCCCAAAGATATCTATGTCAATTGCTTGGAACACATGAATGCTACCGTATATGGCAAAAGATGTGATTTAATTAAGGATATTGAGGGGAGGAGTTTATACTGGATTATCCAAGTGGAAAGACAGAGAAGAGAAAGATGCAGACACAAGTCTAGGAACAAACCCGGAAAAGACAAGAAATGCGTTCTCACTTAGGGCCTCTTTGGGGAGCATGGTATAGACAATACCTTGATTTCAGTCTTATAGCCTCCTGAACTGTGAGAGAATAACTTTCTGTTGTTTTAAGTTTGTGGTAATTTGTTACAACAACTCCAGGAAACTAAGACAGGAACATTACAGGTCATCTACTCCACTGCCTTCATCTAACAGGTGAGGAAAAAGTGGCATGAGAAAGGGAAGTGACCAAAGTCACAAAGAATCAGCTTGCAAATGTAGGAGATGCAAGACAGTGGGTTGGATCCCTGGGTTGGGAAGATCTCCTGGAGTAGAAAATAACACTCCACTCCAGTATTCTTGCCTGGAAAATTCCATGGGCAGAGGAGCCTGGAGGCCAGACAGCTTGAGCTCCTTTCAGTAACTCCAGAGCAAATAGTCCATGGGGCTGCAAAGAGTTCGACAGGACTGAGTGACCGAGCGACTATAAACAAGGTCACACAGTTATTGGCACAATAAGTAAAGGACTGGAATTCTGGTCTCTCTTCTCCCAGTCCACTACAGCTAGTGGTCTGTGTCTTTTTAAAAAGAAATTAATCGTCTTTATTGAGGTATAATTCACATACCATACAGTTTACCCATTTAAAGTATATAGTTCAGGGGTGTTCACTGGTGGACTACTGGTTAGGATTCTGGGATTTCACTGCTGTGGCCTGGGTTCAATCCCTGGTTGGGGAACTGAGATCCCACAAGTCATGTGGCACAGCCAAAAAAAATAAACATACAGTTCAATTTTTTTTTTTTTTTGGTAGATTCATGGGATTGTTCAAACATCATCACAATTTAATTTGAGAATATTGTCATCCCTCCCCAAAGAAATTCTGTATCCATTAGCATTCTTGCCCATGCCTGTTATCCTTCCTTGATTCAGGTATATTGGTCTTATCTTCCCAATCAGACTTGATTTCTCCATCTCTTATCTTTTATACTCTTCTCCTTCTCTAGGCTGATGCTTTATTGGCATTGTAGTTTGATTACTGACACTAACTCACTTTAGATGAGGTGCTGAGGAGTGTTTGGTGAAGCTCTGGACCTGGCAGTTTCTTTAATGTTCCCTGGTTATGTTGCTGACTTGTAGGAAATGACCAATCAATTCATCATTCTCTGAACCGACAGCCAAAGATAAGCAGGTTGAATTGTCCTTCATGTATTTCTGGAGAGGTAGGGCCCAGAAATGAGTCCCAAAGGCCAGACAGTTTGAGCTCCTTCCAGGATCTCCAGGGGAAATTCCACTGTGTCATCCACCACAGTGTTGAGGCAGACTGGCCGGGCCACCATCTGAAGACCTGAATGGTGATGTCTGGAAGCCTAAGGAGAGAAAAGAAACAGTGTGGTATTGGGGGAACAGTTTCTCCACATTCCTGATGTTTTCTTCCCTAGGACAGAAGCCTTTTACTAACACTCCTGGCATCTCTCCACTCAGCTTTCTCTCCCTTTCTCCCAGGTGCAGGAGCAGCCACCTGGATCCGCTACTTTCCATACATTTCAGAGAGGCACACCCACAAGTCGGAAATCTATAGTTTTCCATGGATAATTATGATCGGGTGGTGAGTCATCTAATTCTGAACTTCCCGTTAGGAAAAAACTTTTTTAATAAAGGGAGTTTACTGGAGGCCTGATGGTTAGAACTCTGTGTTTTCAATTCCATTGCCCAGGTTCAATCTCCAGTCAGGAAACTGAGATTCAAAAAGCCATGCAGCACAAGCAAAAAAACCCTCAACTCTGTGTTAGGAAGCTGCCAGTGGCTGCATACCTAAGCCATATCTTCCTGTATGGTCTTTATCGGTTTTAAAGGTGAGCGTTGCCATCTGCCTCATTTTTCTGTCTCCACTGGTTCAGAACTTGAGTGGAGAAGAGAGACCTGTTATGTACACAGGCGGGGGAAAAGGGAGGTGTTATGCATTGACCACTTAGATCCTAATACATGTGTCTTCCATGAATTCTGTAGGTCCTGAGTTGTGATGGTGAATTTTATGTGTCAACTTGACTAGGCTAAGGGATGCCTGTATGTGTATGTGTGCATGCTCAGTGGCTCAGTCACATTTAACTCTTGGTGACCCCATGGACTGTAGCCCAC